TAACTAGTACAGTGGACACAGGGTGGTTAACTAGTACAGTGGACACAGGGTGGTTAACTAGTACAGTGGACACAGGGTGGTTAACTAGTTCAGTGGACACAGGGTGGTTAACTAGTACAGTGGACACAGGTTAGTTAACTAGTACAGTGGTGCTGCTGGGTAGAAGGCAAACTCCTCATGCTTTTCAAAGTACAACAACTTAACACATCTGCCAAGAGTTAGCTGAATGTTTCTCATATGAACAGTGTGAGTCTCTAGTAAGGAACACATCACGTGTTCCTGTGTCACAATTCAAGTGACACAGTTGAGGTGACAGGTATGCTGAGTATCCTGGTATGATTGGATATAATATCCAATAAGTACACACAATTACAATGTGTGAACGAGGAAAATCTAAACACATTTTTAAAAGCTGTTTGGGAGGTGACTTCTGCTTCCGCTAACTCACACGGGAACACAGGAAAGTCAAGGAGAAACACCAGTGATGTCATTCACACTGAGCACAAAGAGGAGGCTGGGCAGGATGGCATCTGCCTGTAATCCCAGCCCCAAGGTCAGGGATGTGGAGGGACTAAGACAGGGTAGACATTCTCAGACCAGCCTGGGCTACATGGTCAGACCCTGTGTTAAAAATCCGAAGTTAGGACAGTAAAAGACCCACAGAAGGTGATTACCAAATCTGATGGAATTGAATAGAAAACAATCAGACTTTTCCTTGTAGTCATAGTGCATCAGTATGGAAAATTTAAAACTATTTTAGCCCATTCACTGATCACAGCTCCCCTTTTTGTGGATGGGAAAGGAAGCTGGGGGTGTGGCTTGTCAGGGCTCTCAGGCCCCGTCAGGATGGACGTGCAGACAGGACGCCTTGCCTTCTTGCTCTCTCTGTCCTCCAAAGCCTCCAGGTCCCCTCTCAACCTCTGGCTCTCTTTCAGGGCGGCATCGCGACACTTCACAGCTTGGGCCAGCTCTTCTTCATTTTTCCCAAGAATAGATTTCATCTTGGAAGAAAAAAAGAAATAATGCATAACTTTCTGAAACACAACAAATCAGTGACTGTAATAAGGCACAGAAATGTCGAGAACAACCATGAATAATTAAATGTGCATATCCACTTGAATAAACAAACTCCACATGGGTTTACTTATGTAACTCAATTCAGTGAACACACAAACACACAAGATTAAGGCTATGGGGAGTTTCACAACTTTTGAAAAATGCAAACATTTCCAGACTAAGACAGACTTACAGAGCTGCCTCCATGAGTATGGGAAATGAGAAGAGTCAGGACACAGAGGTAGAGGTTGGGAGAGGAGGGGACCGACAGGGAGCGGAAGGACGGGGGCAGCAGGAGACAGCCCTGACTAGTGAAGAGGAGCAAGCAGCACCTGACTTCCACCTGGCTCCCTGGCAGGGGAATCAGACGCCCTACCAAGAGGGTTGGCCTGTAGCAGGCTCCGTGGAAACAGACACCCTACACACAGAACAAGCCTCTGACCCATTTGAGACATGGGGGGATGGTGGCTGTCTCTCTATTTTGCTACTTTCTGTCAGAACATGGTCTAAGAATGGAGCCGGTCGAGGGGAATTCTGAGTGGTTGTGAGAAAACTCCAAGAAAACAGACAAGAGTCTAGTAACCTCAGTTTCTTCAAAACACAGAATTGTTCTTGGATTGTGTATTCATGCCCCACCCAGGAATAGTGGATAGGAGTGAGTTCATTTTGTTCATTACAGATGGCTGTTATTTGTTTAGATGCCTCTATGGAAAAACATGTTTTTCCACATGTCTTGTCTCTGTGATTGAACACCTTATTCATGAAATTCTTAACCCTGAGAATATAAACTGTCTGATGCTCTGACTAAAGGTGGCTATTGCATGAGACTTTGGTCCGCCTCATATTTAGGCCCTCCTCTCCCAGGTTCAGGCCACCAACTAGAGTGGTAAACAGCTCCTCACACCTCACAGTGCCCTGGCTAGGTGCCATCTAGAAAGGGAAACTATTGGTTAAGACTGTGCTACCCCCTTGGCCTAATAAAAGGTCCAATCAGAAGTCAAGGAACCTGGAGGAATTCAGTTGACAGGAGGCTCCCCTTGGGCAGCGAAGGGTACAGAATGAGAGTGCTGGGTGCTGGAAGCTTAGCCCATCACCTGAGGATAAATGAGAAGGGTCTCTTAGCCCCGAGCTTGACGTCAGGGTGGAGTCGTCCTCTGGAGTCCACTGTTGGGGTGCTGCTCTGAAGCTCGGTGGAGTCCTGCCTTCTTCAGCCTCAACCTCTACTGGGGGTTGACCCCAGGAGGGTTTCGAAAGCACGAGAGTGGCCCTTGTACAGATCTCAGTGCTTTGTTCCTCCACACACTGCAACACACTCAGCGGCCATCCTTGGGCTGTAACACACCCAACGGCCATCCTTGGGCTGCCACACACCCAGCGGCCATCCTTGGGCTGCGACACTAGCTACCCAAGGACATAGGAATTGAGGAGGCTGGGATAGAGGGAGATCTGCTGGGACAGGCTTCAAAGCTAATGGTGGTCAGCATGGGCTCTGGTCCACAGGGATGGGCATTCCTAAGTGAAGACAAGTCTGCCTGCCATCTACTGCAGCCTGATGATTGCTTCCTTCTCCTTGGCAGACAGTTTTATTAGATCCATTAAGCTATGCTAATACGTCAACTTTTCTCTGACAATATGTATTCCCCTATTCAAAAAAAGTGTTTCAGTAGTATTTTTCACTTGGCTTTGCTTTAAAAAATATTGTTGTTGTTATTATTATTATTGTGTGTGGTATGATGTGTGGCTGTGTGCATCACAGCACACGTGTGGAGGTTGAGAGGACAGCTTTGTTGAGGCAATTCTCTCCTTTCGCCTTAACAAGGGTTCCAGGGATCAAACTCAGACCATCAGGCTTGTGTGGCAGGTGCCTTTACTACTGAGCCGTCTTCTCTACTCCATTCATTTACTGGGGCTACTCTGACCATACATTTTAACTGCATAGTATACTGGCAACACTCACACCACTTTTGCCACCCCATGGTTCCTGGTATTGTACCAGTTTTTAACTCATTTCTGTGGCTTGTTTGGTTTAGAGTTGCTGCTGCATAGTGAGCATTACTCTGAGTGTTGCTGGAAATTGAGAGTAGGCTGGCTACTAGGAAGGGTCTCAGATGAAATAGGAACAGACACTCAATCCTAAAATACCAAAACTACAACAGAGAAATACAAGAAACATGTAAAAGGAGCAAGGTACCTTCAAATACCACGGCTGATCAGTTACCACATCCCAAGAGACTGACATGGTTTAAATGCCACAGCAAGAATCCAAAAGTATACTTTGAAAAAATAATGACTTCAAAGAAAAAAAAAACAAATATATGAAAGAAGTAAGGAAATCAATTCAGAACATAGACTTTTTTTTTTAACGAGTCAGTAGGCCAGCAACATGGTTGAGAAATATAGTAAGGAAATTGATATTTGAAAAAGAAAAAGAATAGAATGTTAGAAATGAAAACTCAAATAAAAACCACCAAAGAAAGCATAAGCCATAGACTTGATCAAACAATGAAAGAACATTAGTGGGCTGGAGAGGGAACTCAGTGGTCAGAACACTTGCCGTGCAAGCATGAGGACCAGAGTTCCAATCCCCATTATCCACGTGAAAGCCAGGCACAGCGATCTGTCCATGCCTGCAACCCCAGCACTGGTGGGTGGAAACAAGCAGACCCTGGCCAGCCGGCCAGCAGGGCTGAAAGGGAGAGCTTCAGTTCAGACAGAGACCTTGCCTCACGGACTGAATAGAGAGTAATAGAGAAAGATGCTTAATATCCTCCTCCAGCTTCTGCATGTGCATATGTGGGCGTGTGTTTGGCCCCACCTGTGTACACACACATATACACACTATACCACACATGTAATGTACAACAAAAGAAAAAAGAGTACTAATAATGGAAGGTGAAAAAATATAGCATCCAGACACCAGGAAGGAAAAAAATAAGCATGACCACAACTTCCAAGAGCTCTTGGGACATGATGATAAGATCAAGTGTAAGAATCTACTCGATTAAAACAAGGAGGCTGGAATAAAAACTAACAGCATAGAAAATCTATTTTAACATTATATCTGATCCAATGGAGGGTCATAGGGTGCACCAACCACACAGCAGGGTAGGCCCCATTCCCAGGAGTAGCTGGTCAACACAAGATTAACTTTGTGTTTTTTATTGGAGGGGGTTCTTTTGCTTCATTTAGCTTTGTTTTGGGTTTTTTCTTTGTCTTTTGATTTTTGAATTTTCATTTTTTGTAGTTTTTTTTAAAGTTAGAAAGAATATAAAGTTGAGCAGTTATAAAGGTGTGGAGGACCGAGGAGAAGTTGGGGAAGAGTAAAACATGATTAAAATATACTGTATGAAATAAAATTTTTAATTAAAAAAGGAAAAAAGTATTCTGGGATTTTCCCCAAATTAAAAAATAATAAAAATAAAAATTATAGCTGAAATGTTCCAAATCTAGGGAAACAATGAATATCCAAGCACAAATAGACATGGCCAGGGAACAACCTTCCATAGCACATTACAGTTAATATGCCAAAAGTACAAAACAAAGAATATTAAAAGTTGTAACACAAAATAACAATTCTTTATAAAGGTAAAACGTAAGGCTGAAATCAGGCCTCTCCACAGAAACCCTAAATCCCTGGAAAGTATGAAATGATGTATTTCAGGCCTTGAAAGTATGTAACTGCCAACGAAGACTGCCATATCCAATAAAGCTATTTTTTAAAATTGATGAAGGAAATAAAGAGATTCCAAGATAAGATCAAGGTAAAACAATTCATGTTCACCAAGAGAACAATGCAAACAACATCTGAACACAGAGGATTTGGAAAAAGTCTCAATCACAATAGCACAGGAAAAAAATTCCATACAAGAAATAAACAAGGATGAAGAAAAAAAGAACCCACCATGTCTAAATCAATTAGCCAGCAACACCCTAAGATGAACAGGGAAGAAAGGAAGAATAAACAATAATCAATCCAACTAGAAAAACAAGCAATAAAATCATAGTCATAGTCAGTAAGCCTCTCAAAAATAAATAAAAAATAAATATAAGTCATGTTCACTCTACAATTAAAATGTGTGACCCAGCTGATTGAATTGTAAATAAGAAGAGTGGCTGTGTGAGCAGACATGAGTCTCACAGCCCTCCCTGCCTCTTCTACTGGAGAATAGAGACAGCTCCATTATCATTTCCACAGAGCCAGCTGTGGAAATTTTATTTATTTATTTTATTGGTATGATTACTAGGAAAAGGTATCTTTGTTCCAGGATGGGAACAGGATAGTCGTGTTACATGCCAAGAAAAAAAAAATCTATAACAGAATCCTGTGCAACCCTCTCGAAAATCAGTAACATTTTAGGTGATAATGCAAGTCTTAACAGCAACAAAAATATCAAAATAATTTTTCTATCTTATATCATACTAGAATAAAACCAGAAATCAATAGCCAGTGAAGCTACAGAAACTCCAAATATATTGAGATTGAACAATTACCCTTGAATAACCAGTGGGACATTAATTTTTTTTAACCTGAGAATCAAATGAACAGACAACCTATCTAAATAAGGATAGAGTTAAGGCAGCTCTTATACATAAACTTACAGTGTGAGTGCCGACTGTAAGAATCAGAGTGCTCTCAGACAATCTAATGATACACTCTGCTGCAGGCTGCAGGAAAATGTAATGGAACCTAGCTACTATGACAAAGGCTGCTACTTGGAAAGGTCAATGACCTTTCTGAAGGTCAAGCAATGGCTTAAGAAGTCTTGGTGATAGTTTAGCTTTTGTATATACATTAGCCGATTCCTACAATGATTTTCTTATATGCTATGTGTGCTTCCAAGAACTCCTAACAGTGTATTTATCTAAAATACCTATCAAACATCCAAGGGCAAATGATCTCCTGAACTAAGGTAACACCATTATGGAAACAACACCTGTCTCCTAG